ATATGAAAAACAGGTATTTCTCGCGTCGGGGCCTCAAACAATCCAAGCCCTTGTGGGCGAGAGAGCAGAGATGATGGCAGCTTTGCTGCTGAGCTGTGAAAAGGGGCTTTCTGACAAAATTTCCGTTTGCCTCATCGCTTCAGCTTGTCTTAAGGGAGTCGTCAGTGTTGTGAAGAAATACGAGCAGGGCTTCCTGGTGGAGGCCCAGTGAGTCAGCCAGGGGATGTTCGGGGAGGAAGGAGGCAACGTGAGGCTATTCTGCTTGCGAGTCGCCAGCCAGCCGGTGAGGCTTCTGGATAGGTGCTCGCGGGCGGATTGCAACGGCCGTCGAGGCAGCAACGCCGTCACGCAGACTCGGCGAACAGGTTCTCCCGTATCAGCCTGACTTCACGCCTCGGCTCCGTCTGCCCTGGGATCTCTGCCAGCGGTGGCCGCTTGCATCGGCCCGGGCTTGTTCAGACATCCCGTGCTGCGATTCTGCGCTTCGTTCTGGCTCGTCGGAAAACTTGTGAGCAGCGGACTAAAAAAAAGTCAAGAATAGTAACACCTTCTACTATGAATTACTTCGAATCATCAAGGCAAACTTAGAGGTTATTTAAGAAGTGTTGAGGAGCTGTTTGACTAATGAAGAATGAATGATTTGTTGTCTTCGCCTTCTCCCCCCCCCCAAGTCATTATTTAAACCAGCCTTTATATCTGTGAAAGATTTTTTAAGATGACACAGAAACCTGCTAAATCAGGTCTACTTTAGACTTTCTACTCTTGACACAAGGTCTGTCGTCACCAGTGCAAAGAGACATTTCTTCTCATGCTTCTACTCTAGAGAAGTTTTGCCTTAGTTTTAGGGATGGGCTGACAGGTTTTGCAAGGTTAGAGGAAATGTCCCCCCCAGATTTTGAGTTTTCCTTAAGTGTGGGAAAAGCGTCAGGCAGAAAGCTTGGAGATGGACATGCTGAAATGTTTTTCTCCTCTGCTTTTACAGTTTGGCTCTGGTGACTCATCTGCAAAAATAAAACAAGAACAGATACCTACCTGAAATGTATTCCACTTCCAAAGTGATCCTTCTCTTTATGCTTCAGAATCTTCACTTTGATTTAAAAAACCATGGGTGAAGTCCTTGCTATATCTAAGTCTGTGGAGAAAAATCTGACTTCCTTTAGGCCAGATCTTTACCTAATTTTTTATTTTCACATCATTATGCTTCCTTTTTCTGCTTGGAAGGAGGCAGAAGTTCTGAAATTATAATAGTAGACCACTTGCTGGCTGTGTTTCCTGTCTGACCAGAGCACAGGTAACCCTGAATGTTGCAATAAAACTTGTGAAATTGCCTCTGTATTTGCAAGAGGCATCAATAAAGTTTGGAGAAGAATCTCCTGTGAACTCAGTGCTAGACCTTCTGAGGTTGGTCTCCTATAGCTGAGCTTTGCTAGTTCTGGCTCTATCGGACTTCTGTGAATTGGCTTCACAAGGTTTTTTAAAGCTGTGGTAGCCCTTAATTGGCAACAAAGGTTTGCTTATTGTCCAGGGCTCTCAGTTTATCTGTCTTTAGCATCTCCTGTGCGTGCTCTCTGCGTTCGGCGTTGAGCACAATAGAAACAGGTAGAAAACGGAAGGTGTCAAGTACAGAAGAGAAGCGAAGAACACACTTGTTATCTAAATCACTCGCAGAAACGTAGTGGAAGTATTGGGAGATTCTTACATGTCTCCACGTGTGTCTCCATCTTATAAGAAAAGTAAATGATGCAGCAGAGGGATTTGTAGGCCTGTCTCCTGCCACAGAAGTGCAGAACTACTTGCAAAGGCTCTAGAACTGGAGTGACACAAAACATTAGGGCTTTAAACTCTCTGAATGTGACAAACTAACTGGATTTAACTTCACACTTTGCACATTAACTTTTATACATTAACTAAGTCATGTAGCTGTTCTGTTTTGCACATTTTGACGTGACGCTGCTTCTGAACGTAGCTGACTCATTTATCTGCCAGAAACATGTTTTATGCTTTTTATACCCTGGCTTTGCAGTCTTTCCTGCCTTTCCCACACTAGCTAAAGTCACCACGGCTCCGTTCCCCCAGGTACTGCCTTTCTGAGGGTCTCGCACCCCTTCCGTTTTTCCCTCAGCGGGAGCAACAGGCACTCGGCAGTCAGTGACATCCTAACCTGAGCGCTCAGCTGCACCAACCAAAGTCTGCTGATGTCCTCAAGAAAAATCTGCTTATTAGTAGGTGTGGCTAGATGCAAGCGTTTGACTTGAAAGTGCACATGCATGCTGTAATGCACGTATAGGAGGCTTCATGCAGCTGGCAGCCGGCTCCACCTTTGTGTGTCGGGGCAAATACCTGGGAGTACTTGCTCCAGCCTGGAGCTTTCATAGTTGCTGCAGCGATGGCAGCAGCAAAGAGACCAAAGACTGGAGGTGACACCCTTGGGTTGGGATACAAGCTCTGTGGCTGGGAGCATCACCATGTTGTATCTGTATTCTTGGAGGATTATTAGTTGGCACACACTGAGGAACCATAGCTCACCTACTTGGACTTACCCAAAAACTTGAGAGGCCAGAATACCATTACTCTCCAGCCATACCTGTGTTTATTGGGAAGGCTTCAAAACCCAGGAACACATGCAGTCAGGTATTACAGTCAAGGCAGGACTGCTACTATGACAGCTACTACAGCATTATTCATATTATGGTTTTAGCCATGCACAGTGTTAACTAGGAAGAAGTTAAGTCAACCCAGAGCAGTCCTAACTCTGCTCCTGCTGTGGCCGCTTGGATGTTTTCCACTGCTTCCATGGGAGCAGGGGCCAGATTCTGAGCCGTTCCCTGAGCTCGTGCTGGGCCCAACTGAGTGACCCTGCCTGAGCAGGGGGGTTGGATTCGATGATCTCCCGAGGTTCTTTCGAACCTCAACCGTTCTGTGATTCTGTGAGTCTGAGAGTGGAGTACTTTGGCGGGTAAGAAAGGCCACTGCACCTCTAGTTGTGAAACTTGTGGCCTGTCTGACTGTTATCTGATTCAGAATTAATAAATGCCGTGTTTGTTAGGTTCTGGATATTAATGCTGCACAAAAACTATGCAGGAGTAGCAAAAAGTTGCAAACTTTTTGCAGCCACATTTTCTGCAGGAAGCTGCTCTATTTTTCCCTGTAAAGCTCCAGAGCCTTCTGCAGGGAGCTCACCCGGAGGATGGGCACCGCTTTCCCTTTGCTGCGAGAGCATGCTCCTGGTACTTCCAGTGAAGACACTGGAACACGCAGTTTCCCCGTGAGCTTTCTGAGTCTCCTCATTTCTCTGCTGTTCTAAAAATGAAGAAGTAAAACAAACTTGGCTAAAACTTACACTTTCAGGAATATGCTTTTTTTTTTTTTCTTCTCCTTCTTTGGAGAAAAGATTTTGCTTGGACGAACTTTGTAGACTAACTTTTTTAGGCTCATTTCTTAATGCCTGTTTCAAATAAAATGTATCTTTTAGTGCAGCAAATGGAAAATAATAGCTTTTTCTTTCAGAAAAAGAATACCGAAATATACAGCAGGGTCTTACACCAGACGTGATAAATGATTTTAAGGGTTAGCTTGATCCTGGTTGCATCACTTGGTGCATCTGATCCCAGTAATTGTAAAAAGTACAGGCAGCGTCCGGGAATAGCAGGCACGTGCGGGTGAGAGCTGTCTGAGGTGAAGGATGTGCCCTGAGCCCGGAGGAAATTAAGGGCAGGCACCAGACCTGGCCGCAGGAGCCAAACATGGTAAAGGAATTAGCAAGTTCTAGCTCTAGTGCGACGACAGTTTGATTTAATTAAAATGTAGGGCACTGGGAGAAGTTAGGAACTGCTTGTAGGCTGCATGATGAAATCCAGCTGCAGCCTATTGAAAACAGGCTGGTTTCCCTCAAGTTTCCAGAAGGTGGGTATGGCCGGTGCTCCTGTTTTACCAGGCCAAGTCTTGGGCTTGGGTTATGGCAGAGGTGGATTGACTGCAACTCTCAGGAGTTTTTTTTTTTAATGGCACTGTTGAGGCTTTGACTGAGCGCTGCTGAGCCTTTCAGTGTCATTTCAGGTGCTGTACCCAATTTTGTGCGTAGAAGCCTTCAGTCTCCAGAGCTGCCTGTTGGACATTGGTCGCCAATGTGCCGTTCTGATATGCTGACTTCAACTGGCAAAACATCTTTTTAAAGGAAAGTTTTATTTTAGAGGATGCAGGATATTTCCTTCAGGAAGAGCAAGTACTGACTTTTGCTGGGGTTAGGGACAGCAGTGCATGTCTTAGTGGTTGATGGTGGTCTTCAAACACAGCTGAACCACATGTTTCTTACCACTTTTACGTGCAGCCAATTTCTCAGAGGGAATTACTCTCAAAAAGGGTTTACTGAGGCATTTGAAAACCTGATTGCATGACAGCTTTTTTTGCCCCCCCCCTTCCTTTCTGAAAAAATCCAAGAAGCTTCTTCTGGATTAAATAATAGAGCAAGGACAGGCAAAAACCAATCATCTTGGTTAGCAATGAATGATCCCCCTCTGGTGCTTAAATCCCACAGTGACTTTCAGAGTTTCCACATGTTCAAGAGTAATGCTGTTGAGAAAGTGGAAAGGATGAGATTTCCTCAAAAGAAAAACCCAAAACAAAAAAAACACAACCCTGTGGTGAACATCTCAGAAGTTAATTCCTCCAAATGCAGTCTTAGGTAGGATGTAGGTGATCCTGGGGAGAGAGTGTGAGCTTGGCCCTCTACAGAGACGCTAGCTATGTGCATTGAGAGGTGCCCCTGTGTCAGCTTGGCTGAAATGGCATTTCATTAGTAGAGGAATGATTCACTAGGAGAGGATTTTGTCCTCTCTGTATTAAAGTTTGGATGGGGAGCACGCCTTTTTTTCTAAATCTTTGCATCTGTAGTCCTTGCTTCTACAGCTGAAATTTTAATTATGCTGTTACAGAAACGCTCATATTTATTTTTCTGGGAAGACAATAAATAACTGCACATAACTTTATTTATTGCATTTCAGGCAGCAGCAGCTGGTCTTAGCTATGTTGGGGGATATGTCATTAATACCTACAAGAGCTATGACAACTTCCTGCAAGACAAGTACGCTCTGTTGCCAGCGGTGATCATTATTTGCGTTGCCATAGTAATGTTCATCATTGGGTTGATCGGCTGCTGTGCCACCCTCCGGGAGTCACGAGTTGGACTGGGGCTGGTAAGTACTGTACATTCTTGCATGTCCTCTTTCACACCCTGTTGCATGGTACGCGAGTTGTGTGCGCAGAGCTGAAAGCGAACATGTTATTTGGAAATGCTGCTGAAGCACTGCTCCTTCGTGGGAGCTACGTACTGCTGTGAGGCACCAGTTGATGGTGGGTGAGGTGCAGGCTAAGTGATTAAAGTTTTGCTGCCTTGCGCAGACTAATACCATCAGGCACTTAGAGTTTTCCTGACTCTGACTTAGCTAGTTTGCTTAAGAGAGGAGAATACAGAGCACGAAGTTTTGAGGAGCGGGATGGTGGTGAGAGAGCAGGAGATGTGAACTTCCAAAGCAAGCAAAACAGATGTATTTTTTTCTGCTGACTTTCGTTCTCCTAACCCTAAAGGATGTATTGACTTCTTGCAGAATGACCTTGAAAAAGCTAGAAAGGTAGAGGCTGAATAACTTAGGACCCCCAGCTCATGCCTTCAATGTGATGCAAGCTCAACAAGCAGTGCCCAGCATACCTGTTTCAGCCTACCTCAGGTACTGCAGACAGTGTCCTGAACACTTTGCAGTCTAATTGCACAGATCACTTAAGTTGAGGGAGAGACAGGCTGCCATTCCTTTATCAGCAGTTACGAATAGCGTGGTGCTGCCTGCAGAACAGCCCGCGTTCCCATCCCTGGGGAACGATCCAGGTAACCATGTTCTTGGGAGTCCGAGACCTGGGGAACTCCAGTCATCGCCATGCCCATACATGATAATCTCCTTTTTCTAATTATTTTCTGGAGATGGTTTTAATTCATGAGGCAACAGTGGATAATAATATTAATTTACTCAACATTATCAGTCTCTGCAGGGGGGGGAGAAATGTGTGATTGCATTCAAATGCTGTGTATCCTTACAGTCTCTTTCTTTTGATTTCAGTTTTTGGCCATTATTCTGGTTATCTTTATTGCAGAAGTGTCAGCTTTTGTCTTGGGGTTTGTTTACAGGGAAAAGGTAAGAATTAGCATCTCTCTGCTAACATAGAAGTAAAGAATAGCTCCTTTGTTGTTGGAGCATTCCAGTATATCCAGCTTTCTTGCCCTTCATCTTGTATTCTGAGATCTGCAGGGCAAGTGGTTACAGTGGGGACGCAGAACGAGGATGTCGCCACCGGGTAGATGAATTGACCCTTGTCAGCAACATGATGAATACATTAAGTATCTGGCAGGCATCACAACAAACTCTAAGTTGGATTAAGCAGTTGTTGATGCTCACAAAAGAGGGCTCTTAAGTCAAGGGAGATCAGCTTATATCCAGGAAATTATTCTGATTAAGTGCTACCCGGGTTTTATCTAAAACTTTTTTTTTTTTTTTACTTTGGGGATACAGATCTTTTGCAGTTTCCTTTAGATAATATTTTGAGCTCTTGTGTTAACCGAAAATGGATATTTTTCTCTCAAAATAGGTTAAAACTGACGTGCAGGGCACAATGCGTTCGGTCTTCCAAAAGTATGATGGGAAAAATCCAGAGTCTACGGTTGTGGATTACTTGCAAAAACAGGTAAGAAAGTCTTTAAATTCAGCTGAGAATTATTTAGAAATCAATCAATTGGACATTAAGCAAGGGATTTGGCCTGGGAATGGGAGGGGAGGAGGGTCAGTGTGGCGGTATCCTAGAGCTCTGCTCTGCAGCAGTAGTTAGCATCTGATTCTCCCTGGCAATTGGGGTGCTCCTTGCTTCGCAGAGCTGGCCTTCAGGGTCCTGAGGTGAAGTTCACGTAAATTAACGACCTTGCTGACACGAATGGCCTTGGGATCAGATAAACGAGTACATATGAGCAACTGCTGCTGAGAATCCTGTACCATAAAACAGAAAGACGATAGAAGAGTCTATCCTGCAAGCTGTCGCCTAAATGCTATCTTTTACAGCGAATAAACTGACAAGGTGATAATAATGTCTGAAGGGAAGTTGATCTGTAATATCTACTGCTGTTTCCCTGAAGTACTACTACTTCTTGTAAATCCGTCTCCTTCATGGTGATAGCCGTGCAGATAGCATTACTAACTAAACGATAATGTTAACTTGCTGCTTCTTTTTTTCCACTGGCAGTTCTCATATAGCGGCTGACAACTGCTGAAGCCACTTCCCTCTCCTTTCTTTTTCTCCGGCCTGTAAAGTAGCAGAAGGCCATGCTGCTTTATGTTCATGTTCGTGTGTATTCATGCATCCGTGTAACTATTTTGTGTCTGGCAGCTTCACTGTTGTGGGGTAAAGAACTACAGTGACTGGACGACCACACAGTGGTTTAACTCCACGAGTAATAGCAGTGTCCCTCTGAGCTGCTGCAGGCAAGATCTGAACAACTGCACGGGGCGTCTGGATCAGCCACAGGAACTCAATACACAGGTGAGGGTAGAAGGCACAGTTTCTCATGTCCATGTTACGCTGGCCCATGATCATTCTCTGAACCAGCCAGAGCCAATGAGGAAAGCACTTTAGGGAGGATGTAGAGATGATTTCTTCCAATCCTTTCCAGCAGTTTGAATCCCAGACTCTCTTCTCCCCATGTGTTTTCAACTAGGTAGTTTACTTCTCGCATAATTCTATAAGAGCACTTAGATAACCAAAGGAGAGCAGCAGGTGTTTTCATAGGCACTAAATCTGTGTATTTGGCCTTTTGGCGGTCCTCCCTTTGGAGCTGCTACAGCAGCAACGTGACTAGGCCAGAGTACTACGCGTGGGCGAGTCGTTGTCCAAACAGTTCTGGAATAAAGGAAGATACTCTTTTAGGCTTGACTTAAACTGGAAAATTACGCACTGGATTCTTCAGTTTGGGGCACAAGCCCCATAGATTTCCTTCTATAGAGATCACTGCTGGTCTTCATAGGGCTGAGTTTTGGGTACTTATTTTGTGCAATAAGTGAACTGAGCCAGAGGAGAATTCTAGAAGCGGCAAATGTCAGCGAGTAAGAGTTTGGCAGTGCATCTCCCCAAGCAAGAGGAGAATGACAAGCCATCAAGCCTGGAAAGCAAGAATGGAAGCCATCAAGTCTGCAGTGGTTGGTTAGACAGGCTCTACAAGGTCCTGCTTTCTTTCAGAAACTTAAAAAAAAAAAAAAGGGGAAAAAACCCAACCCATCCAGCTGAATTATCTTTTGGCTTGTTTTCACTTTTCTCTTTCTTGGCAGGGCTGTGCGGAGGAGCTGGAGTCTGGGCTGCAGAGTGTACTCAGCTATGCTATGCTTGTAATCCTGGGGTTTGCCATCGTAAAGGTACTGGTAAATGTTTCTGTTTCTTCCCTCATGGAAAATAATGTTGCTTCCCCTTTGATGTCCTCTGGCTTTTTCTTCTACCATGCCCTTTCTATGACTGTGAGGTAGACCCCATCCTCTATTCCTGCCTTGTTTTCTTCCAGTTTTCTCCTTTTTGTCTGCATGACGAGAAGGAGAGGGATCCAAAAAAGTGGTTGGGGATTTGAGGTGGGCAGTAAATAGAGCTGTATTGGTTGTTTGGTAGGCAGTACAACCAGCTAGGTGTGCTTAAAGGCCCAGATCTAGAATTCTTTATTAAAACAGTAATAAGCTTTCCTGTACTTAACAGGGATTTTAAAAATTGCTCTTCAAAGTTTGTTTTTGGACACAAGCCAATCAATAGTCCTATGCTTGGAGACCTGGAATGAAAATGGACAACAAATACGACCAGGAATGAAAACAGCTAGACTATTTATAGAATTGCAAGATACGAATTAAATGAAAAGAAGAGGGAAACCAAAACAAGTTGTCCCGCGAGTGAAACCAGATTTTAGAAGTCCTAACATAAAACTTCTAGTAACTGGTACACCCAAGAAATGCGCACGCAGCTTTATGATTTGACCGATACATTTTAGCCTGGTGGTTTGTCACTGTTCCTTGTACCTTTTCGCCAAGTTTTGTAACCTCTTCCTTGCTGACAGAGGTGAACATTTAATAACAGCAAAATGTTTTCCCTTTGAATATGTTTTCTGTGAAAGAATATTGGTAAGTTGAGCCAGTGTAGAACACTTGCTGTTTAATATCCCTTTCCTGAACTCAATGCAGAAACAAAAGCCTGTCTCTTCAGATGTTATTTCAGGATGGGAGCTTGACTTAGTTAAAATGTCCTTTTCTTAATTCTGGCCCTAGGAGAGAGGTGATTGTTTTTACTGCATTATATCTCATAGTATGAGTTTTAAGTTTTTCAGAAGTTTCCATCACTTCCTTTCCCTCTGTAAAATGATCAATTTTATACTCCCATAACATGTCCCTTTTAATAAGTGTCTGTGATGAATCCTTCCAACACAATTTCTCCTGTGATCATCTTCTATGATTACCATGACATATTCTGCACTCTTATTTACACATCTTATATGCTTAAATATTTTATAAAGTTACATTTTAAGTCCTATACTTTCATTGTAATTATTCCCACGGTAAGATACCTAGGAATTAATGTGTAAATTAATGGGAGAACCCAGGGAAGAAAAAATTGAGTTGGAACTATTATTCAAATGTGACATATAAAAAAATCACTTTGTATTTATTTTCAAAGTGTTTTCTAGTATGAAAGGAACGTCCTTGCTATGATGATAAAAATCTAATTAACGCTTAGGTAATGGATCTGAGGAATGAAGCAGAAAGATGAAGCAAAACTAAATCTCTCTTGTTCTCTCTCTTTTTCAGTTCTTTGGCATGCTGAGCGTCTGTGTGCTCACTTGCAAGAGAGAAGACAGTGGATATCAGCCTCTTTACTCAGGGGTGTTTGCTTGATAAAAGGCAAAGACCTTTTTTTTTTTTTTTTTTGCTTCCTGATGATAAAATAGATTTGTAAAGATGAACGTTAAAGGACAATTTATGACCTTTTTGTTAAATATTTTATTTTATTTACATGAAACGGAAATCACGTAGTGTATTGGTTTGGAAAAGTTTCTTGTGGGTGTTGTGTGAAATGACACTCAAAATTTAGTGCTGTGTAGTAACTCACCCTGTTCTTAAGCACTGCAACTTCCTGTAAGGTTATTTTAGGTTTGCCCTTGTGACTTTCTCTACAGAGCAACAGATGCTGTAGTAAACTCCAGGAAGAAATCTACTTCTGCAGTTTCTTTCTGTACCCTAAAACACGCAGAAAGAAACGTTATTTTTAAATCACTAAACCGACTGAGAAAGCAGGAGGTATTCACTGACTGCACAAATATCAAATCTTTCTCATGACATGGTTAAACAGCAAAAGAAATTTTTTTAATAGGAGGTTTAAATATTCCTTATAAGCCCAGGGAGCTACGAGACATTTCTCCTGTATCTGGTGGTGTTTCTTTTGTTCCTCCTTGTTACGGTCATATTGTGTCATTCAGTTTATTGGGGAGGTTGTTAGTGCAAGACAACCCTTTGGAGCAGCGTTTAAAAACTAAAACAGAAATTTGCGTTGTCTTTTGGAATAGCTAGCAAATGTGAACAACCCCAGGTTATGAGCGGGCCTGTATTTTGAGCTTTTGGGCTCGGGGCATCTCTAGTTTGGGGTTTTGTTGTGTTGTCTTTTTTTTTTTTTTGGAAACTAAAAATTGCTTATGAAGCAGGGCTTTTGATTCCCCCCCCCCCTTATACTGATGCTTTTATATTTTGCCTGCACATAGGCACACTTTCTTTCTATTTAATGTAGATGTTGCAAGAGTTATTCAGACGGATACAGGCTGCAAGGTGGGAGCTGCAGGAATGGCTATGTAGAAAGAGGACTCTGGGAGGGTTAGTGCTGGGTTCCCTGTCTCGGTGAAGATCTGGCTGCTTTTCACCGTTAAAAATATTAAGGTGACACATTCTTGCACTGGATAGTTGACCCAGCAACTTCAATAACCTATTGTCTGGCAGTGTCACATGATTCTTTGTTTGCTTTTCTTTTTTTCTTAAAAGATCTGCTTAACGTCATCATTTCTTGGATTGCATCATCTCTTTGAAAATGATCCTTCTTTATCACATTTGTATGTTAATCTGTTTCTCAGACCTTTAGGGATTTTTGGTTTTAGGTTTTTTTTTTTTTTAGGACTAAGATGTGGGGAGGGAGGGAGCTTTGAGCTATTCTTGATTAGAGGATTGTGGAAAAGAAGCAGCGTGTTATTTCTTTAAAAGGATAAGCAGTCCCTCCTGTAGCAAACACATATATAGCTATTTAGAAAAAAGGAATTTGGCCTAAGTGTAAGCTGTTTTTCTTTATTTCCCCCTCCCCTTAAAAAGGAATTTGGGGTAAGCGTAAGCTGTTTTTCTTTATCCCCCCCCCACCCCAAAAAGAGATGGAAAAAGGAATGTTTGGAGGGTGATGATGATACTCTATAGGAGACGTACCAGTATGAGTATGTGTACATGTTGAAAGTGTTTTAATTTTTATTGAGGGTTTTGTCTTCTGTTTAATGCCAAAATAAACCAAATTTATTTAACCAATTAATAAATGCTGGTTTTTTTTTTTTTGGTTGGTGGTGGTTATATGTTACGGGGTTTTTTTTCTTTTCTTGGGGGTGGGTTTTTTGGATGATGTAAAGTCTTTCCTTGCAGGGAAGGGCAGGCACAGGAGTCGGGTGGGAGATAACCAGGAGACCGGGAAGAGGAAAGGGTGCCAAGAGCAGCCAGGCTTCAGAGAGGGAAGGGGCGCAGACGGGTGCCAAGAGCCACCTGCTGTTACGGGGGGAGGCAGTCGTGGTCACGGCCACCCTGATGCCAAAGACCAGAAAAAAAACGAGCGCAAGCAGCCGGCAAGAAACAAGCAGGGCTATTGCAGCCTTTACTTATGGCATAATTTATCCCTAAGGCATCATCAGGTGGTCGGGGAAACATTGCACGTGAAACCTGCCCCCCCCCCACAAAATTCTGTTTACTGCTCCTGAAAATGAAAAATCTGGAAGGGAGGGGGAAAAAAAAAAAGGTTGACGGTCAGAATTTAGCTTAACTTTTCTTCCGTGGCAAATGCAAACCATCGTGGCCGTCCTGCACCAGAGCGTCGGCAGCTTGTTTAGTTCTTAAAGGTCATATGGATTTACCGCACTGCCGCGGCGGCACGGAAAGGGCCGGCTGAGGGA